ACATATGACTAGTTTTGGAGCCCTTTTATTGGCAGAATCTGATATTAATTTAGTTCTTACAAAAAAATGGGTCCCAACATGGTTTGTGTGGCGTTGCCATAGTGTGACGTCATAGGCACAGATTTCCTGTCCTCTTGTTTGGAAATGGAAATATGGTCACCCTACATTAAACAAACTGTCCACCCGGGCTTTTGCGCTGCACAGAGACGCTTCGCTGCCTATGACTGAACGTCAGTTGAGAGTCAGTCTCATGCAGACTGACCAATGAAGAGAGGGCCTCAAGTTAAGACCCTCTCCTCATTGGTCAGTCCACACGAGGTGGGTCAAAGGTTACCCTGAGAGGGTTACGTGATGTCAGGTATTCAAGTATTGAGTATATTTACTGCATATTACAGTAAAATATTCTGTATGTGACCATATTGTGGTGATCCTTGGGTTGTGATGATGAGGCCCTTGAATATTGTTGCCCAGGGTACAACAAAGTGTTAATCTGGCCCCGCCTACCGGGCGTTCGTTAGTAGCTGAGTGAGAGAGGCTGAGAGGGAGAGAAACTCAGAGAAGCTTTAGAGCTTTTTCACTGCTGGAGAAAAAACGTAGCAAGTCATCATCCTCCTAAATGCAATTATTCTCTTCTGAATCAGCACTTCTTTAAAGAAGAAGAAATAGTTAAATGCAACAAAGGGAAAAACCCTTTTATTCAGCCTGTTCATGCGACTTGTATAAAAAATAAGTCTGAACAGTGTTAAAGGTTGTTCGTCTAAAAATAAACCTTGAAGAGTTTGAAGATTTTTTGTTTTAATAAGTTCATCTTAAAGCATCTTTCTCAAGTAAAATGAAGTTTCCTCTGTGAGGTCAGATAGGCCCATCTGTGCTGTTTTGAAACAGAAATAAACAAATGAATCATATTTGTCCACCCAAATACTTAAATATCACAAAAACAGGAAGGACAAAAACACCGTCAAGGTAAAGTAAGAAATGTTATTTTTAAATAAGCCGCTGTTTGTGATTAATCATGACTTAACTATGGACATGATTAATATCATTATTAAATAGCCCATGTGGCCTATAGGCTATGTAACTGAGATTTAATATGAAAAATTAGATAAACCAATTTTCAAATTAGGTATTTGCTTTATGTTGATATATATTTCATAAACATTTACGGGCCAAGAGGAACATCAGCTGCTGTTGGTATAATTTGAAGAAAAAAGTCTGTTATGCTAACCTCCTCCCTTCATATTCAGAATTTTCTAGTTGTGTATATTGTGCCTCTCTAGTTCTTAATAAAGGTTAAATAGTTTTGAATTTAGTCATGTCACATGCCAGTGATTGTGTTGTTTTTTCTGTCTGTGTGTGTGTGTGTGTGGGGGGGGGGGGGGGGGGGGGGGCACCACGAAGACTTTGTGCTTAGGGCACCAAAATAGCTAGGAACGGCCCTGCCTGAGGTGACACGTGGCGAGCCTGTGCATGCGCTAGTTTTTCTCTGGGTTTATCGTTTCTTATCGTGGCACTGCTAGGGCCGTTGTTTACGGCTGCCGTCGTCGTTTTTTAGTTTCTCCTCTGTCGCTCGTTTTCTTCACACAGCACTGCTCGTGTGTGAGAGGGGGAGATGGGACGACTGACCGGTTTTCTGAAAAAGCAGAAGATGATTTACCGTACTGTGCAGAGTGGAACATCTCTTTATTCTGATGGCACACTGTTGCAAAGTCGTGATAAATCAAGTTAAACGTGTAAAGTGTGTCAGTACTCAGCGTTAAAGTGTGTTTTTGTGAAAGAAAAATAAATAAATAAATAAATAAACTAATCCGGCAACCCCACAATAGTCCGGTTCTTACCCTTGGTTTTCCTCTTTGCATTAATGTAGTTTTATACAACAGTTAGTTCCGACCGAGTGATTTGATTGGTCAAGAGACTTTCCAAGAGTGCTGATATTGGACTACAACAGCACTGGGACTGTTTACAAACAGCATCACTCCGCTGTGCGCAGGCGTTCTCAGTTAATCATTAACGTTACTTCCCTTAACTCTCGGATCGACTTCGCACAGCAAAGATGGACGTATTTCCTCACATAACATTCCATCTACTGTATGAATGGTCATCAGACTCTGACACTGAAGGGGAGTGGACCGAATACATCAGCGCAAACCAGGTGTGCCGACATGTCAACAGCGCACCTCGACGAATTAGAGACGAGCAAAAAGGAAGTCAGCACTGTGAGGCAGACAGCCTGGGCTCTGAACTGCTTTCAGACTCGGCTCAATCTCTAAAATATCCAGGTGAACTTTCGGCAAGTTAAGAAGGCTGAACAGTGTTACGGGAGTTTTACGGATCCATCTGGACAGCTAAAGAGGAGCTCTACAGCATCAGCAGCTACCTCGGACTTCGGGCGGGATTGGAGCCGCCGGTGGGCCGCTCATGGAATTTAATGCAGGACTTGTGGACACGCGTTTAAGTGCAATTAGGTCCGCGTGGGAAGTGAAATGAAATGACAGTTCATACCAGCTAACAACGTTTTCAAAGGAGTCACACGGAAGCATTCAGATAATCCTAAATGGTGCAAAGTAAAGTTACAGTGCTTTGTAGAAAATGTTTGTGTTGCCTAGCAACAGCCTTGTCCGAGTCTCCGTTTCGTGTTGGGACTATTTGTGTTGGCGGAGCCTGATAAATGAACAAGTTATAATCTGCTGTTTATTGTTGTTGTAAAAACAAAATGAGCAGGTAGAACTGTTGTATAAAAGCAACATCACACTCGAGGTCGTGCGTTGTTGCTGAATATCAGCACTGGTGTGATTATCTACGACCGAATCACACCAGTGCTTATAGATCCTGGCTATCTCACAGCAGAGGTTACGCAATAGCAGATCTTTAAAGAGCGTTCACAAACACATACTAGGGTCGCACGACGTTAACCGGTTAATTGCTGTTAATGTTGTAACCGGGTAAGCTAGTTTTTCCCGCTTAACTGCTTCAAGTCCTTCTGCTGTGCTGGGTACAATATATTTCGTGCCACCAGAGGGCGCAAGCAAGATCACCACTATCAAATATGTTTACTGGGCTGCCGCAGAAGAAGAAATGAGCTTGTCACATGGCTAAACAAATGTGCTCCAACGTGAAGCGGCTAACAAAAAACAGCGTGAGCAGTTTATTCTTAGTCATTTCATTCTTGGAGCACAAGAAGTGCCGAGCCTGGCAGAACATGGCGCAGCAAACTGAACCGAGACCAGCAACAGGCCGTGACGCTCTCTGTGTCGGAATCCTAAATTGTCTGGTAAAATAAATGTCAGTGTAATTGTTTAGTTCACTGTAAGGAAACTATGTGTGTGGTTTTTTTTAACCGTGGCCTCCAAAATGCACTCATAAGCACGCAATCGCAAGCAAAGCTGTATAGTTGATGCCAGAGTCTGACGGACATTCCAGCTGTCATCCCGCTTCCTCCTTTACTTCATGCTCATCTCTGTAACAAGTGTGGGGCTTTAGTTGTGCATCAGAATTATATAACAAAGAGCAAGTGGAAAAGGCGTTATTATTTATAGAGCGGGGGGAAAGTGTGTGTGCGTCGGGGGGGTTGGTTGGTTTCCGGTTTACTGGCTATTAACCGTTAAGGGCGTCAATAGCCGGTGAAAGACATTTTGATAAACGTGCATCCCTACAGCAAACAGAGTTCATCAACTAGACTGGTGATGATAAAACACCCGCTTGCTGGAAAAATGGAACCAACTCTGTGATTGATGTAGATAAAATGTCTCCCCACACTGTGATCCTCCATAGTAACACCAATGTATACGTGTGTGTGTGTGTGTGTGTGTACAGATACTTGATCCTAACCACTGGATCAGGACATCCCTTACGTGGACAGGTCTGTGTGAGTGTGTGTACCATAAGTACTCCCAGGGACCACCAGTCTGCACTCTGTGTGTGTCCTCTCCTGTTGACCACCTCAGGGGCCATATACTCCACCGTACCGCAGAAGGAATAAGCCTTCTTATCAGCATCTACTGACTCTTTACTCAAGCCAAAGTCTGCCCAGGAATAAAGCAAAGGAAAATGAGTAGAAGACCCTTAAATCACCACAGGTTCGTCGTGTCGAGTCAAACACTTACCTGTTAGCTTTATATGTCCAGCTTCGTCAAGTAAGATGCTGAAAGATAAGAAGTTTTTCCACAGGTGAGCTTCAAACAACAGGAATTTTTAAGATGAATGCATTTGTTTTATGCACGTGTCACTTGAGAGTCAGGTTGGACCCACACGTCTAGAACGTAAAGCACTCTAGAGTTCTGACAGACCGGACTGCTTCACTTAAACATATATTATGTATAAACAGGAATGCTTTATTGCATTTAGCTGTGCTTTGACTGCTTTTAGCAGTGAAAATCAGCAAATGAAACAATGAAAAGGTGATGGATGCAAAAATGTGCACAACAACCAGAAAAATATCAGAACTAATCTAGTTAAACCAAACAAATAACAGAAGTTTGGGTTTTGAATGTAAACTAGTAGATGAGCAGATCTATTGTAGCCTGGCAAGCCATCCTATACATGTAAATATGTAATCTGGCCTAGACACTTACAGGGACGTGTTGGGTTAAGTGAAAATAACCTGAAAGTGGTTGAGGGCGTAGGGGCCCCCTTCGGCCCCCCACTGGGGTGAAGGAGCAACCCTGGAGCTGGAGCATTTTCACCAATCTTAAGTGTGTTTCTTGGCTCTCTGGGGCACATTTTATTTTTTATTGTTTTTATTGTCCCCACTATTTACTCACTGTAAGCCACCATTTGCCATCAACATCTCCATTCGCCCATGCGCCGCGCTGACTTCCTGTCAGTTTCCTCTAAGGGCGCCGCCATTTTAAACCTCATCATGCATGCGCCTAGCAACTCGTACCGGTCCCTTCTCTGATGCTGTTTTCTAGCAAACAGTCAGGGAGCACGCAGGCAGTCTTGTTTTGAATCGATCGTGGGCAGGGGCGGACTTCCCATTTCATCGGGGGGGCGGGGCAATACAATTTCAGAGAGTAGTTTTTGAGTGGGACGGGGAAAAAACATTGCTGTGTCCTGCAACTAGCAGGGTGGGCCTTCATCATGAGCAAGTTCACTGAGCAAGCAGCCAATCAGAGGCGAGATGTCAGAGCATCAGGGAATAATAGAAAGAAAGACTCCAAAGCCTGCTCTCTTCTGGTTTCTGGCTGTTGAAACAGAAGCACTGGAGCATCTCGACAGATGAGGCATATTGACCCTTTGCACCGACGTCACCTGATCACGTGGGTCCTCCATGCTGGACGGCAAAAGCATGTAAACAGTGAGCGACACGATTACTAGTTCAGTGATCAGAAGTAGCGCATCTAGCGGGGGCTCATAGAGAGCGGTATGCTAACTAGCTTACCAGCGTTAGCTTACGTTCTCTCTGCAGCTGTTCACCGATGTAAACATGCTGCTGACTTTGCCTAAACTCACCCCTCTGGATTTATAACTTTAGGTTATAAACAGCGTTTCACTTTACACCAACGCTGATTGTTAGAAAGTCCAGATTCCTACCAGCTTCTGTTGCTGGTGGTGCTACCGGGTTCAGCTGCTGCTATCACACCGGAATGAGAAGATCTCTGAACGCCGACGCTCATATAAATAAATAAATAACGTCATTTTAACACACGTAACCATACATCGGAGCTTTAATATTGTTAATAATTGTCTGGCTTTACACTACAGTGGACGGAGCGCAGCCTCCGTGGTGAAACACCCGTCCATCAGGATTATCAATAACTAGTATAAACACATCACATGTATCCTCCTCGTGAAATAAATGAATGTTAATCTTACCCGGCAAAAACATGTTCGCTGCTAATCTGAGGGCCGCTTGATTGATCGCTGCAGTTCATCTCCGTCCTCAGTCTCCATCAAAGTTATTAAAAAAACAAAACGAGTTGAGTTTACGTCCTTGTCTGTTGGTGCAGCCGACCACGCAGCAAGCTAAACCATTTTACTGTCAAATCAACTAAATAAACCATAAAAGGCTACAAACTGGCTTGTTTTGACTAGCTTCACTGGAGTTTCAACAGGTGTTACGGTCTTTTTGCCGTCCATCATGGCGAAGGGGGCGGTCACATGAGTGGCGTGACGTCACGTGCAAAGGGTCAATAGAGAGCACTGCAGGTGTGTTGGAAACAACAGCAACAAGTGAACTTGGTCTTTCAATACAGTGTTGTGCCGTTGTCAGGTAAAAACTCTGCACTGTATTTGAATTTAAATCTGCCACCGCTATTGGCTAAGAGGTATACTATGATGTAAACTGGTACATTATGATGTCACAATGCTGTGGTGAGCCTGTGTGTGTGTGTATTTGTTAGTGGCTCCGCCCTCTCGGTCTGCCAGGCAACAGCATTTGTTGCATTTTTTAAACATGAAGAGAGAATGGAGTTAGACTCTGGTGGGGGGTGACTTGCTCTTTAATGTTGGAATTTGAATCCAGAAGGTAAAGTACCACAACCTCTCTGGAGCCTTTTCACAATAAAGAGAGAACACCAGCTACAAAGAGAGCTGTGATTGGCTAGCCAGAGTCCTGGTAAAAGCTGCGGAGGTTCCAATGGAGCGTGCCTAGACCATTCTTTGCAAAGCAAGAATTTGGTCTAGTTCACTAGGCTAGTTGACAGCTTTAATTTAAACAGTAACCAGTAAGAATAATGTTGGACTAGGACTAATTATAGTGTTGCCATCTAAGCTAGGGTTAGGCTACAAAAAGGTGTGATTGCTGAATAATGGCCCGCCACACCGACGGGTCACGCTTCTGCCGACTGATGCCGTAAATAACGAGGTGCTTCATTAAATTGCTGGTATTTCCAGATTTAGAGACACGATTTAGTTCTGGATCCTTTTACTTTAGCGAAATGCAGCAAAAACTTATTTGTTTTTCAACATTTTCAAAGACCACCACCTCGGAGGAGGTTTGCAAGATCCGGTCAGGTGGTGTGATGCAGCGGGAGGAACGGAGCTGCAGCTCCTTCACAGGAACCTTTCACTGGAAAATTCAGCACAGAAAAAGATTTTTGGTACCGTTGGAACAGGTGGAGGTGTGATGGTTGACTAACCGCTTCAGCGCCACACCGCGGTGTCACGCTCTCCTCCTGCTACTCGGCTCTGGGATCAGCGAAATCCACCCGATGGTGAAAGCTCGTGTGGGACGTAGCGATTTGAGCGGCAGGAGAGGGTGAGCATGATCTCTGAATGATTAACCACGCGTTGTTTAATGGTTTAGATTTTGATAGACCGTGTTCTGGGGGACAACATTATGCTGTCGTAGGTCTCTTGTGAAAAAGAACTTTTGAGCCCCCGACAGAGCCACCCCCCATATATACATATATGAAAACATTTCTCGTTTAATTTGCATAGATCGCCTCAAGTCACCAGAAAATTCTGGAAATCTGGGACAAACCGGAGAAGTCACACCCCCACCCTTAGACAGAGCTCAGTCGGAGTTGTCTTTCAAACGGTCCCTGGACGCAATAGGACAAC